CTCTTCTAGAACTTACTCAATAGATTGTAGTTTACATTTCGTTTGTACTTTTGATTGATATTTTTACTAATATTTTTAATTGTAGTAGTCTGCAAATTGCACTTTATAGTTTGGCTTTCTATTTAATGTGTAGATATCTAATCTCAATTCCAGTAGTTTGTATATTACAATTTACTTTTTCCCATAATTTATCTAATATTGTTACTTATATTTTCAGTATGGTAGTTTGTAGGTTGCACTTTACAAATTCACCTTTTGTTTACTGTTTAGAAATCTATTTTTAGTACAAGTAATTTATATGTTGCACTTAATATTTTGATTGTACTTTTATTAAAGTTATGTGTGCCAATTGTTAAAGGGCTTTTGAATTCATGGATGATCTCTCTCCATGTGGGGAACTCCATTAGAGTCAACTTAAGAGGAAGGCCCTTATCAAATGACAAGGCAACACTACTATAGAGATGAGCACTTCTTTGTCGCTCTCTACCATGATCAACAATGTTATCAATCCGTACCCACATACCTTCACTCCAATGTTATCACCCTGAAAACATACCACCACTTACATCCCTCTCCTCCCATCTACCACCACCTAACTGTAGGTTTGTATACTTTGGTGGAGGGTCATGCTGCTACTTTTGACCAAGAAATGTCGGCCAGAACAAGCCACACTTTTGAGCATGAGCACATTGGGCAGATGTATGTTTTTTTAGTTAGTTCTAATTGTGCTTTATATTTTTTATTTTAATATAAAGCTAACTTATTATCTTCCAAGACTTCAACCCCCTATACAGGCTGCTCATACTATCAAGGACATCGATCAGAGCAAGAACAATGCTTCGTACATCCTAAAGAAGATACCGATAGATGTTCATGATATATGCATCATGCTTTGCCCAATGTATTAATCTTTTGGTGCCTTAAGCATGATGCACACATTGGGAGGAGCATCGAGGCCAAAGGGAGTAATGGTTTTTGTGATATTTTTGGGGAGAAATGGAAGACATTTCAACACCCTTTGTGGCTTGGAGAGGATTTATTTAATAAATTTCTTTGGTTATGTGACGCTTTAGACTATTAAAAAAGGATTTAGTAGGCCAAAGATAATCAAAACTCTGACTGTGGAGGCATGGTCGTTTTCAAGCATATTGGCGAGGCACTCCCACGTACCAAGTACAAGAGCAGCCGATAAGAGTTAATTTATGCATTAAATCTTACAATAAAATAAATATTTAATAACTAATTTGTTAACTTAATAGACTTTAGGTTTTGGACGAGGGCTTGTAGTTATCGAGTTACACATGTGTGCGCAGCAATAGTCGGACCACATTTTGATTAACAACAAATTCCAGCGACCCATGTCAAGAGTAAATGTTATACAATTCAATTAAATGTTTAATTTAATTTATCTCTAACTTTTTTCTTATAATTTCTTGTAGGAAACCTTCCAGTAGCTAAAGGAAATCTGGATCCAGCACACATGAGGACTTAGAATTTGAAGTCATTATCTGTCTGACTATGAACAATGAAGATGGGCTGGAGGCAAGAAGAAGGAAATGGTCTATGGATTAGATTTTCATACATAGGCCTACGAAACTTATCACTCCTCAAGTGCATTTAGTGCATCAACTTCTACTGCATGGGAGGAAGAGGTTCATAGATAGATTGTGACATTCAATGCATACATTGAGACCTGAGTTGCAGCCCAGAATTAGATGCACTATGCACTATGCATCAGAATTAAAATAAAAACAAAATTAGATGCACTATGCATCAGAAGGACATAAGAGGAAAAAGCCAGCATATGAGGAATCTGAGGAGGAGGAGCATGAGGCTACTGAGAAGGATTATAATTGTTTTTATTTATATTTACTTTTTGAAACATTTTGAACATGCTAATTTATGTACATATAGTTTAATTATTTATTAGCTTGCATTGGTTGTTTTCCTATGCTTAATTTGTGCGTTAATTCATTTTATTTTAGTTTAATAATTGCCTTGTTTGATAAGTTAGCTTATGTTATATATAATAAGATTTGTATCTCTGCTACGATTGTAGGTGTGAAAATTATAGTGAAATGAAGAATTCTTTTTTTTTTTTGCATGCTATAGTTTTTAACGGCTTTCTAATGATCCTCAGATGATCTTAGGCTGCCAATTAACGGATCGGCGACTAGCTCCTACGATGATGTATTGATCAACCAAAGGTTTGTGTCATCGATTACTGAATTTACGAATTAACCCAAGATAAAAAACAATTTTTTTATTTATTTTGACATTAACCGACAGCCTCTGACCATTGTTTTATTTTCTGATGGTCAACTGATGGATAACTAAAGAATATGTTTTTTACATTAACTGACCGCTTTCAGACATCATTTATATTATTGATAGGTAGTTGATGACTTATCAATCATTATGCCTTTAACATGACCTACGAGTACTACCTGTCAATAAGTCGTCGTTTGATAAAAGCAGTCGGAAAGACTGTAGGTTACGAGATTACCGACAAACGAATTAACTATGCTCTATAAATTATCGAAAAGCTATAAGATATTTTCTTAACTGACAGTTTTTAAATATTTTAGCTATAAGATATTTTCTTAACTGACAGTTTTTAAATATTTTACTATGGCTGGTGACTATCAGAAATAGGCAAAATTTCTCTAATGCTGCCCTCATCCCGTGAATGTTGCTTTCTTGGCATCTTCATTGTGGTCGGCCTTGGAAGGTCTAGTGATGACAGTGTAACCTCCATTATGTTGCTTTCTATAGACAATCTTGCAAGCATTCGAACTCCGGACACAATTTACGTACACAGTCCAATGATAGGGAGTCACGTGTCAAATGGACCCACTGCAATGCACTAGGATCGGTCAATATTAAAATGTGGAGCCCACTTGACACGTGACATCCCACTATGGAACTCCTGATCCACGGAGTCCTGACCTAATATTTTTTTCCCATCTATGACAGGCTATGTCCGCGGTGGGAAAAGAGAAGTGTGGTGAAATTTAAAATCAGCTAAAATATTTTAATATTAATTTTTAAAAATAAATCAATCAAAATAAATAGATGAAATGAAATAATACTAATCCCATCGTTGCTATCCCAGCTTGACCCTACCTCAAATCGGAACTGTCGTGAGAGTTCATTGTTGGTTTTGAGCGAAATTGGGACAGGTGCCTTTGGGATGTAGCTTGTCACGTAAGATAGGCTAGGGATGTAGCTTGTCAGATTATATATATATATATATATATATCTATATGTATATATATATAGATATAATTAAGTTTATTTAAAATAAGTAATTATTAAATTAAAAATAGAATTATTACTAAGCTTTTAAATTATAGTGAGGCAACATTTTTAATGTATAAGATGATATTACATAATATTGAAAATCTAGGCTCGCTGTCAGTTTTAAATGGGCAAAAAATTTTAATGTATAAAATGATATTATATAGTAAATAAAAATTTTATGGGGACTACTGCCCGCTAGCCTCCTTTGGTTTCACCACCGACAACAATGAAGGTAAAGATGAAGGGTGGCATTAGGGGTGTATAAAAAACTCGGCTTTTGCGAACAGCCATATTCGGCTAACCAAATAGCTTATATTCATCTTGTTTGTTAAGTAAATGAGCTGAACACGAATAATTTTCTTTCAATCATGTTCGATTAACTTTGACTCGAATTAATTAAATAATAAATAAGAGTTAATACAATGATATCAAAAAAAAAAAAAATTATACATGTAAAATAGGAAAGTTAGGCGTTAGACGTGTAATACATAAGAATTGGGTGGTATGCATGTAAATACTCCTAAGATTTTTAAAAATAAATTTTTGATGTTGATATGTAAATACATAATAATTGGGTGGTATGCATTTAATGTACCATTTTCTCCAGAAAAATCCCGAGCGTGGCCGCTGGCATGCTAGTGTTACCAATGTATATAGATGAGAATTTGGTGGCATGCACCTGACCCGTTTTGTGACTTTTATTCCACATGGCCGCGTTGAAAGACACACACTCATTAATTCTGTATAAAAGTTCCAAGAAATTGCGAGAACTTGATGAACCCTTTTTGTGGTTTCAGAAATAAATTTTATTCTTAGCACAATTAAAAATACTTTAAAATAAAAATTTTAATTCGAGCTGAATGAGCTCGAATGGAGATGAACGTAAATAAATAATTCACAAGCCATTTTGCATAAGAGCCAAACACATAAAATTTGGACCAGCTCAAACTGCACTCGTTTATACGGAAAAATTTTCTGTCAGGACTCCAGACATAGCTATACCTGCGGAGTCCTAGTAAATGTTGTCATTTGTCTTATATCGGGCTCAGTTAAAAAAATATTAAAGTGGAACTGTAAACTCTGCAAAAACCTTGAAATAACACCAAAAAAACCACCGTTGTGTTATTTCGTGGTTATTGAAGTGGAATATATGAGTTTCTCTTCAATAACCTCGAAATAACCTTCACAGTGTAATTTCATGGTTGTTGAAGTGAAACCGTGAAAGTTATTTTGAGGAGTATTTAAGTGGAATGCATGTGTTTTTTTTCAGTAACCCCAAAATAATCTTCGCGGTTCCACTTCAATAACCCTGAATAACCTCCACGATATAGCACACATGGCAGCATATTACCAGAATCCGCACTTCCAAGAGTTCCCGTTTGTACCCCCTTAGATGACATCATTTAGTGATTTAACAAATGTAAACAATAAATTTTAGCTATGAGACATATAAATATATTAAACTTTTTACTTATGAAGGTAAATCACCCTTCATCTCAACATCCTATAAAACTAAGATGTACACGTGCCTTAAAAAATGATGATGGTGGCCATTTATTTAATAAATATAGATGTCGATATACAAATAAGTTAATTAAGTTTATAAATGCAAAAAACGTTGATAAAAAAATCTCACTTTGCTATCTTTATAAGCCCCAGCTGAACAAATCTAGTCCCCACACAAACCAGTCAGTCTTCTCCATCTTCCAAACTCCTTCGCCCACAAGCTTTCTTCACAGATTCATGGAGAAAATAGCTCTGAATCACTCTTCATCCGCTATCAACAGCCTCAGCAGTGGCTTCGAGGGCTTGACGAAGCTCCGAGTTCTCTTCCTCGCCTCTTCTCAGTCCAAACCAACCTCCAAAACTCTGGCAATCGGTCTCCTTGACAAAGCTCTTAGCTGCATCACCTCTGCTCTGTCCGAGCTCCAGGCCATCTCTCCCAGTTCCATGAATGCTGCTGCAGCCCCAGCCATCGAAGATAGAAATTTTGTTACTGATCCTAAGAAAAGGTTTGAAATATAATTGAATGGATCTTACTAAATTCATTATGAAGTGAGATCTATGGCTTATGAAGAGATGGTTTGATTTATTTTGTTGTTGAAATGAATAACTAGGAAGAAGACACAGTCATGGACGATTTCGACCTCGGTGCCTCACTTTGATGGACATCAATGGCGAAAGTATGGGCAGAAGCGAATTCTCAACTCAATGTATCCTAGGTAGGTAACTAAAGTTTCGATTTTGATTATTTCGGCACAATTAGTAAGTTGAATCAGACGATGGGACATAAAATTATTAGTAACAATATTAAAAAAATAGTAGTTTTGTGATTTACAGAAGTTCTATCGAGTTTAAAATAATATGAGAGTATGAGAAGATTTGGTTAGTTTTAGAAAGAGCAAAGATGAAGAAATATAATCTGAGAAATTTTATCAAATTATAAAACACATGCAGACAATGAATTGACAAAGGTTCTGTTATGTTTGTATTAAATAGCAAGTAATATCATCTTTCGTTCAGGTTTTTGCAAACAATTAGACTTAGAATCCACTATCCTGGTATTGTTGAAGTCCTCTAACATCTATGAAATTAGATTAAGAAACATAATTAACAAAGATAATTTTTTTGTTGCTAATTTGTGTTATTTTAATCTTAAACTTTGGATAGATTGGGAAACACGTACTATGGTAATTAACCCTAAAGAGAGATGATATTCTAAGTGATATAATCATGTGCAATGAAGAATTGAAGGTGATCCAAAATAACATTGCAAAATACAATATCAAAACATTAGGAAAGTCTCTTTATTGAAACTCCATTGCTACAATCTTTCTATATATTTTATTAACCAAGAAAAAATTCACTTATGCAGAAGCTACTACAAGTGCACTCACCACAAAGACCAGGGCTGCCCAGCAACAAAAACTATTCAGCAAAAAGAAGAAAAATTCTTCAAACCTCCAAAGTATACGGTCAGCTACAACATGCAACATACTTGCAAACCCAAGGAGACTCAGGAGATTCCTTTTGTCATGGATTCATCAGCCATTACTAATACTTCATGTAGCACCAATATAGTTTCTTCCACTTACAGCTCCAATGAGATATTGCCTTTACAAGTAGAAGAAATGGAGCAGGATTGTCTGATGGAATCCATGCTTCTTTCTTCTGAGCCAAGAGAAGAGGTAAATGCCACTCATGAGGACTTACTAAGGTCTTCATTGGCAGCTTTGGATTTTGATTGGGGGTGGCATGATGAGCTCATTGCTTTTGAAGCATTTGGCAATGTCATGCTTTGAATCACAAGGAATGAAATTATTATTAATAATGTATGGCTCACACATTAAAAATCAAGTGTGGCGCCATAGCTTGGACAGTTTATGTATAATAGAAGAGTTTTGATGACTTTTGCATTTATTGTCTTAGTTATTTACGTAATTATGTAGCATTTTGTACTAATTACCTTTAGGCTCCAGTTTTGTTCAGTTAGTTAAAGTAATAATTTTGCATATATTCTAAATATGTTATTAAAAGTTTGAATTGTATACATTTATAATTGATGTTATTGTAATTAATATTGTTGGAGAAAGGCTTGTGGTGTAAGAGTTCTATCTTCTTATCATTTTTTGTATCTTTCTATAATTAAATAAGGCTATTATAATAAAAAGATTTTATTTGTAAATATTAAAAGTCATTTATGCAAGATGTCAAGAAACCAGCGCGATTGCTCTCTTCTTTGAGGCGATGGTTTGCTTCAATAACTTCATTTCTTTTCTATTCTTACTTCCTTTTTCCATTTTCACTTTTCTCTAATTTTTCCTGTTATTCCCATTGCCTTTTTTTTCTTTTTTTTGGAAGGATAAGGCTTGTTTCCTGTTCCTTTTTTAGATCTTTGTCATAGTAAACCTTTTGTAGCTAAAAAGGTTACTATCCTAAACCCTAAAGCCAATCTTTTTGGTAATTAGGACGGTCAAAATAGCTCGTCCTTTGCAAAGTATTCGTGTTTTACTCGTGAAGAACTTGGGTTTGATTTATTCGTTGAATAAACAAGCTAAATATGAACAATATTTTTAGCTCAATTTATACACGAGTTGAATAAAAATAAACATTTACTCGATCGTATATAGTTTATATATTAACAAAGATTTATAAGTAATTGAATTTTTGTTTTTTTTTCTCAAAAACTTATTGTAGATATTTTTGTTTTATTTAAAAATGCTAAAATTTTAATATTAGTCTCCTTAACCCTAATGCCAACTGTTCTTATAAAAAGGAATGTCGACATAGCTTGTAATTGAGCAACCACTCATGTTCAAGTTTGATTCAATCATTAAGAATATTTTCTAGCTCAATTTCTAAACAAGCTGAATGAGCACAAACATTTGTTCGATCATTAATTTTAAGTGTTAACAAAAACTTATAGTTAATTGAAAATTTATTTTTTTTTCAAAAATCATTGTATGCTTTTTTTTTATTTACAAAATCTATATTTTAATAGGTTAAATTTGAATGAGCTAATTCCAAGTTAAACACTAACAAAAAAATTTAAATTGAGCCAAACATAAATATACTATACACGAACAATTACGAACACAAGTTAATTTTGAACATAAATTATATTGATAAGCCGAATGCGAGCCGAGCATGAACGAGCTAAGACTGGCTTGTTTACAATCCTAATTGTAATTTATTTCATTAAATGAAATGAGGTTGAAATGACCATATGTTAATGTTGGGAGTTACTAACAGTGTTCAAAAAGAAAGTTTAATTCGCTGAATCAGTTTGTTGAAGAACTATTTGTTCAAAAATTATAATGTCTCCTTTTTTATGTAATATGCTTTTGCCGTACGCTCATTTTAGTGTTTCTACCATTAAGAATTCGACGGTTTGTATTTTCATACACCCTTTGATTAGATATTATGTGCCTTGATGTTTTGATAACTTTCTCATAGTATTCTTTAGCACTCATTCAATATTCTTCATGGAGGAAATAACTATTTGATTTTTTTATCTGTAAAAGAAATTAAGGGTCTATTTGGGGCAGCTTATTTGCTGCTTATGCGTTTTAACAACACCGCTCCTTCAGTTTGTTTCATGTGTTTGGAGTGCTTTCGAGGATCTGTGCGAATCCTTTTCTATTACATGCTGGTCGAGGGTCGAAGCCTTGAGCCCGTGTTTCCTATTTCAACTTCATGTTAATACCCAGGACGATGCCTGCATCTTATGCTCTAGGTTTCTCTTCTATGCTCTTATCCTCTGGTTCTCTCTGATGCGATTCTCCTTCTCTTTTCCTCTCTGCAATTTGGTAAGGCGTGGTGCGTTGTAACTTGCTAATGTTACGATGAAATCTTGATGAATTGGTTTTCGTGTGAGTAGCAGCCTTCTGTCAAGAATATTGAAGGATTGGCATTTTATTGCTTTGGCTTTCTTTCTTTGTCTTGCTTTCCCCGTTTCTGATGAAATGATTTTTTGTGAGTAGTGACAAGCATTCTGTGAAGAATATCGAGGGATTGGCATTTTCATTTGGTTTTTTGTTTTGTTTTATTGTTTTCCAGTGAAGAACATTGAATGAAATTTTTTTGACCGGCTTGGTTTTTTGGCACAGTGCAGCTCGTTTTTATTTTTTCTTCCTTCTTGGTTTGAAGCACCATTATTGAACTTTACATATTTTGTGATAATTGTTGTAGTACAGGATTTGGAGCTTTATTATTTGTGCACTTGTCTATAAGCACTATTTCTGAACTTTACATATTATTTGTGCTCTTTACATATAAGAATTGGGGTAAGATATGGCAAGCAATTGTTGTTGGCTATGGCACCATAGTTTGTCACTTAATAGTGTAGTCCCTCGTTTGGCACACAAATTTGGGTGGAGGTTTGATATGAATCTCTATGGTTGAAATTTGGGAAGATATGAAACAACCATTTAATTTATTCGGTTTATTTTCTTGAGAAATCACGTAGCATCTCAGCTTAATGGAGCCATGGGATGATTCGTAAAATTAGTTTTATGCTCTTGCAGAATAACGAATTTGGGGAGCTTTCAATCTTTTGGAAAGTGGATATTAGGGTTATTTGTTTTATGTTCTTTATTTCATAAATTAGTCTTTAAGATATCTTAACAATATGTTTCAAGAATGATAGAATTCTCTAATTTCCTTATGGAGAATGGCCTTTGTGATATGGGTTTTTAAGGAAATCTTTGCACTTGAGCTAGGGGAAATATTTTAGAAAGATTGGATAGTTTTATTTCTAACAGATTTTGGGTGGATTCCTTTCCCATTACTACTATTCAACATCTTTCTATTTATGGTATTAGGTTGTGGAAATTACATAAGAATTTGGCTTGTCATGTTAAAAAATGGATTGGCAGGTTTTTGGTAATCTCCCTAATATGAGGTTTGTAGCCTATAGAATTTACTTTTGGTTCAATTTTCAACACCAGTGATAGTCGGTTTTTTAGCAGGGAACTGAAAAAAAATGTTAGATTTTGATTATGTGGTCAATATTCTCGCTTATGTGCTATGGGATTGTTAGTGGTACAATTTTAGGATAAATGTGGATATTTAGCTTTATGTTTTTGGTCATTATAATTAATTCGTTCATTTCTTTTATTTACCAATCTTATATTTATTTTCGTTGTTTTAAATCTATGATAACGTTTTATCTATGATTTTATTGCTTTGGTTTTTTTCCTTATATTGGTTATTTTAGTTTTTAATTAACGCAATGAGTAAGAAATAGGAGGTCGGATAATCAGTCACATGGGATAGGGATGTCACTATTATATTTTGCGACCTCTGTTTAAGGGAAAGGAGCTGAGAAATAGACCCACCACTAATTATAACAAAAAAGAGTCGAAAGAAAAGAGCTTCTTCTGCATTTTAAAATAAATGTTATCATACTTTTAACTATAATTTTAATATGTATTTTTTTTTTAGGTTTCTTGATATTCACTATTAAGTGAGCGCTGAATCTTTTTTTTTTGCACTGCTTTGAAATATCATTTTTTATTCTAAACTATTAAAATATATAGCTGAAACAAATTTATTGCAAATAGCACAACTGCACAGTAGTAGAATGATAATTTATCCAGAAATAACTACAAATCAGATGTTTTCTAAATGCACAAACCAAACAACTTGATAACTTATCCAAACTATGGGCAAAATGGTCATTTACCCAGAAATAACTGCAAATCAGTTATTTTCCAAATGCTCAAATCAAACAACCAGTCAGCTTATCTGAATCAGTTGCTGATCAGCAGCTTATCAGGATAAGCTTCTTATTTGAATAAGTTGGATAAGCCGCAACTGTCCCAAACAGACCCTAAATAAGGTCTTCTAACTCTTTAACCATCTAAAGATTATTTTTGTCATAAGTATTAAATTTTATTTCACTCGGGCAATATTTATTTTATTCCTTCTTTTCAAACACATATACGATTTTTATTTCTTGATTCCTCCTAAAATGATAATTTTTCAATTTTTTAAGCAAATGGCTTCTTAGGTCTACTGAATTTACTTTTTCCCTATGTTAATCAAAGCCTCCTTTTATATATGGAGATGATGAGCCATAATAAACTTAAGATATTAATCATAAAATCATCATTTTGAATAGTTTAATAGCAATTCTTTTTAAAAGTTGCATTTTGAAGACTAAAAATTGTGGGGATAGAAACAAAGGGGTCGTCTTTATTTTTTCTTCTCCTTTAAATAAAGAAGCTAAAATCATTGATTGAAAATAATGTACGGTATAATTAATGTAATTTAGAACAAGAGTATTTTTGTAAGCCATTAATTTTAGTGTTAGCATAGATGAGTGATTTCAAAATAATACTTCAAATATTTTTCATCGGCAGTTGAGTCAGTTATCAGATGTTTTAAATATATTTTTCTTATAGAATTTTGATCTAAAAATAGTAAATATATGCTAACAAATACACACATTTACTTTCATGCGAAGCCTCCAACAACTTAACAGCTTTAAGGCTTTTATCATAGTTGAGCTCTTTTTACAGCCTCGAAAATGCTGTGGTGCACGGGTTTCCCTCTTCTTTTTCTCTTCCTTGGCGCCCTACCACGCTTCTTGCACACGTAGTATTTTACCTTTATAGTTAGTGTTTAGCGTAAGCAATGGATTCTTAAGTTTCCTAATCTGCAAGTGAAACACATTAGATTTAGATTCACATATCTAACCTGAAAAAAATAGCCAAAACTTAGCAACAATAATAATTGAAGTTAAAAAACAAACAAGACTCCTTATGATAACTAAAAGTAACATCAACTTAGGCCAAATAAGTTCTCAATTGTAAACTTATTTTAAGAAAAAAAAAATCCTAAACACAAAGAAGGTGAAGAATATAAACCCTCAGAAGTA